CCCCCCCCCCCGCGCGCGCTTTAAGCCGTGCAGACGTGCATACTTGCAGGAGACTGGTTTTCATATGAAAAGATGGCGAATTAAGAGCATATATTACCTATATGCGCTTAATTTATCTGTACTACCGATTCGGGGTTTTGGGGTTTTAACTTAAGATGCATTTTTTATATAATTTACATCTTCCTCCTAATCATAATAAAAAGTCCCCGTGACAGACCGAATGGAAAATTACTATTGACAGTGTTGAGGACAAAATACACATTTTCAATTTGTTTCTGCTCTCTGAATGTTTTAGTGAAGAACGTGTACTGGACACGGTGAGACATGGCAAGCAAAACCTGTTTTCTGCTCTAATATTTATGCAATTCCTTTTTGGAAAACAGAAATGGAAATGTAGTAATCTCATTGCGACATTACGGCAAATCAATTTCCTTTTTTCATTCTTCTCGGCTCTTTTTTGAAAGGGGCGGGGGGTAAATGATGGCAATTCTCATAGCAAGGCGCAAATAAAGCCGGTGAGGCTGGGGGAGCGGCTCTCTAGCGAGGCGTGCGGCCGGCGTGAACCCCCCCGCTGGCAGGCAGTTTTAGGCGCTGTGCTCACGATGAGAAAGCCTAATACCGGAAAATATCCCGAGCTAGTCTGCGGAAATTGATCTGCCCTCCGAAAATGACTGATTTTAATTTTGTCTGCATCTGGCGGCCGAATCTGTAGGCTATTCCGATGAGCTTTCGGAGTGTTTGCGAAAAATATCCTCCAGAATGGAGGAAAACCCATATTACAAACATCTGCTTGCACGTGTTTATGAGTCTCTTTTCCGGCTGGTCCTGACGATTGTGCTGGAGAGCGGTTCATGCTCGTATCTGGCGTCTGCTCTTCTTAGTCGGACCTCTGACCCGCCTCGCGATCAGGGGGCGCCAGGGCGCGCTGCGTGATTGAGGTTCATTGATTTATGTGAAAGCGGTTTCAAATAACTCTTCATACGCTACACATACGTGCCAAGCAGGGGACGAGTTACGTTTGCGCGTTATAAAGTAGTTGAGCAATCCCCAAAGTCACAGCATATAGCTTCTTAAAGAACGCTTTGGCGGCAGCGCGTTTCCACAATATAAAAATAAAACGAATGCCCACGTATGTCATTAGCGGCAGACCGACTTTTGCGCGGAGGAGTGCTGCTCAAATAAGGGTTAGATGATATAGTAACGATTCCGGCGTTTATGGCTGAGCGGGCATTTCCCAAGTAGCGCATTAATCCCATGCCGAAACGCTTCTCCTCCGCTTCATCGCCCGGCTTCTCCTGGTACAAATGTGTCCGGTAGCCGCTGTAGCACTATGTGAGACGAAGCCCTGTCCCTCCTGTTTCGCGTTAATGAGGGGGGTATTATTCTGGAGTCATTAAATCACAGTCCTAACATCTCGCCGAGTCCGCCGCGGCCATTAGCGCATCACACACGCACAAACTCCCTCTCTCTCCCGCACGCCGCATTTTATTATTATCCGCTGTGTTTATTAAGACATCAGAATGTCACCGAACAGAAAATTACACTCTTCTCCTATTGAGAAAATTGCTTTGGAATTGGTTGGTTATAAAGTCCTCTTAAATAGAAATAAAACACACAAACATAATTAGTTTTTGTTGGAAATCTAATAGCTGTGTGTCGCCAGTCTTTCCAGCCGGTGACCCGAAGGATTTAGCATCGCCGGCTTGGCGAGTCGTGAGCGGTGTGTGTGTGGGGTGGGGGGCGCCTAATCGTCTTTGTTACCGTGCTCGGTTCCCGGAGTCTTATGCTAATACGACTGATTACGGTCGCTTGCAGGAACCGCCGTCGTGTTACGGGGCGACGCTACGATCGTCGGGCAGCGTTAATGAGCGTAGAGCAGCAGCCGTTTGGAGGCAGATTGGCCGCAGGGCTGCCTCCGCCAGCGCCGACATTGAGCAAGGACAAACGTATGCGAGGTTAAAGGCTGGAGCCCGAAATAGCCCCGGGGCCGCAGAGAAGCAGACCCCACGCGCGCTGCACCACATTTTTGCCCTGAAACACCAAAAGCGTTCTGGCTCACAGACACAGGCTGGGAGGCAGGGCGGGTGACGGACACTCTGCACATCCTTTACCCTGGTTATGACGACACAGGCTGGGAGGCAGGTGAGGGGGGGGGACTTGGGGTCAGAGTGCAGCTCTGATTGAGTGCACTGGATAGAGAGTCCCCTCGCACCAGGACTCCGTTAAACGGGTCACCCCACCGCATCTCCCTGACCTCTGCCAGGGAGTTTTGGCGCGGTGTCTCAGTGGCAGGGGGATAAATCCTGGCTCCCTCCCACTGCGCACAGATCAAACCTCTTTTCTTTCCCCCAGGAATTGGCCCAGGGAGGTGGCAGAGCGGGACCCCTTTTCAGCCCTGGGGGGGCAGCAGCAGGGGCTTAATGGCCTCTCTGCCCACGGCCTGCACCCCTAGCCCATCATGCCCCCCCGCGGGCGACTTCACACCCCACTATATCGTATCATTTTCATTTCGAGACACCCATGCCGCCTCCCCCCATTTGCTTCACGTTCCTCTGTTTCTCGCATAGAAAGTGTGCCGTTCAGTGGCAGCATACACAAGGTAAAATCATCCAGCTTCACTCAGCCATACAGCGAAGGCTGCCCCCAGGAGAGACCTTTAACCACAGCGCCACCTGCTGGCATTGGTGATCACACCTCTCCCAGGGTCAGCTGTTTGCTCACCAGTGATTGAACACTAAGGGGATGCAGACATGAGGGGAGACCCTTAGCAGGGCCAAACTGGTCCCTGGGGTTCAGGCCCGCTTGGATCGAGACTTCAGCATGGGAGGGAGGGGCTGGAGGGGGGCGGGTGGCCTGTGATTCAGCCAGGAATCGGTCTGCAGTGACTGACTCCATGTTACTCCTGATGATTATGTGAATCTATCACAACAAATGGCCTCGAAACAGGTCAGTTTCTCTGCAACAGCTGCAGCCCCATTCCAGGGCATCTCTTATGAAAATACGGTGTGATCTTCTGCCCCCCCCCCCCCCACATATTTTGTTTTTTAAACTGTCCTCTGATAAGAGCTCTGAGTATGGTGATGGGCACAGAAAGTATATCAAAATGTGCATTGTGTGATGAAAGCGAGCCCCCCGCCACCAAACTGCTGAAGGGGGCTGGGTTCCTGCACCTCGCTGAGATCTTGCAGTTGCACCTTTGATCCCACATTTCAGCGACGTTTAATTCTGCATGTACTCCATCCAGCTGAGCAAACAGGTAAAGTCTAAAGGTTAAGTGCATGCTCCTTATTTGCTTTATTCTGATCTATTCTAAACCGCCCCCCCCCGTTCTGAAGCCCCGCCCACCAGCGCCCCTCCCCGTTTCTCGAGGTTCATTTGATTTCTCCTTCCTGTCGCTCTAGACCAGTCAGCATGTCCCACAACCAGCATGCATTCAATCACGCCAGCAGGGGGCGCTCTGAAGATCATTTCCCTGTTTGACTCGCATACCGAGGACACTGGAGCTGACAAAAATTTTACAATGTTCTTCTATTTAAAAAAATTAACT